GAATTGCTCAACAGCAAGGGTCATTAACCTTTTTGCTTCGCGCATGTTGAAATCCCATGTCTACGAGCAACCTAGAACGCTGCATATGAAAACAACATGCACGTGTATGTTCGTAAACTTTGTGCTGCAGGAAGCAAGTGAGTTTTTACCGGTAAACCGGTGTCTGGTAAACCAGAGATCATGTTTACGAGTTTTACGATTACGGTATGTTCTTCAACGAGCGCGCTTGGCATCCCTCTTCCACACATACATGCACAGTAACAATCCTCCCAGCCTACCACTCCTCAACTATACTACGTAGTATTTGCTACACGTATACCATAGCTCTATGGCATTTTCTAGAAAGTCCCCGATTCCATTTCGTCAAAAAAATGTTGAATACGAGCTACCATTTGTACCATCGACCTTGTCGAAGAGAATTCCACACGTCACGAAAAACGCCCGGCTATCGTTGACAGACACACCAGACCACTAATTGTGCCATGAAGCAGAACACATCGGCAGATCCAACATAAACCAGGACACGTAGAAGCAAAAGCATCGAATAATACAGAGAGTCAAGCCCATTGTTGTAAGAAAAAGTAAAATTCTCTGCAACAGCGACGGACGTCGACCATTCGAAACAAGAGAACGAATGCCCCTCTCTGGCGTAAAATCCGAGCTTAGCCCTGGGCCATTGTAGCGGTGGTGTTTCGGCTCGTTAAAAGCTGCCTTCATCGCCTTTCACGCGGCGATCTCTACAAAAATGAGTGCCGTTATGCTTCAAAACGACCCGCGCTTCCGCTGGACAGCTTTGCTTGATGTGGGTGACCTCGTACCGTTAGTCGAGTCTCTGATAATTTACCTCGATCGCCGAAGATGTTTTATCAGTCTTCAGCGTTTCGCTCAACACGCTACAGCAACTCCGAGTTGCAGCGAGAACTTTTGTGCAACGATGGCAAGGCTCACCTTGCGCAACGTGAATCACGTTAAGATGATAGCACAGTTGTCAAAATGGAATCATCGAGGTGGCCGGCTGCAGTTCCAATTTAGAACTCAGCCTGTTGTAGTAGTTTGGATTCCAAACCTCGGAACTCCAAACTACTAGACTGGAAATCAGCTACACGATGACCTCTTTTTAAAGAGAAAACTCCATAAGTCGCATAGAAGGCAACGTTGGCCCATAGCTTCGAGTGTTTTGATTCAAAACTTTTGAAGCCTCCGAGACATCATATGGTAGCGGCGTATTTTGCTTGATTCCAATTTTCAAGAGTAGATTACCACGAAGTGATGTTTCCACGGCATTCCAGTCAAAGTAGGCAGGAAATACCCCACCCCGACAGGAGCTGGAGTGAGCAACATCTACTTGTCTCGAGTGCTGGCTGTTGCACGATTGCAGGAATACGGGACGGTTTCGCCAGCGCAACCAAGGTTGACGAACCGCTCGTTTCTCACGATTTGCAACGTCAGCATCACAAAAGCACCAGTACTGCAGCCTCACAACTATAAAACTCTTGTCCACGTCCACAATTTTCACCGGGATATCACGCTCACCTCGATGACGGGACGGCTCCAGATCCTACGCACTCACCTTGAATGTAGGTTCCGGAATGTACTATGATCTTTGTATGCCACAGATTAGTCACGGGGGACGAAAAGCAGTCTTTCGTAACTCCTGATGTGATCCAGACGACGGTACAGGTTACTATTAACAAGGTGGAGGAGACTTCCACTTGTTGCGTTTACGTCCGGAGGGCGTTTACGATCGGGGACACAGTCCCGTAAGCGACTGGCTATCCAGTGCCGGTACAGTTAGAGCATTGAGCAGAGGATCCGCTCA